GGGGGCTTGTGAGAGTCGGCGATGCAGACGTCAATGTCGTTGAAATTACTTTTAGAAGTCACTCCTGTTGACGTCATGGGTAGTTAAAAAACAAAAATAATAATTTTTTTCAACGCAAAGTAAGACTCACTATAGGATGTATCCAAAGCTTGTTTTTTAAGTCTTCGTCGTTTAACTTTTCGTGTTCATATTTTATTGTTCTGCCATTATCTTCCCATTCGTGTATATTACTAATGTGGTTAAGAACTGAGGTGAATTTTTCAACAAGTAATGATCCGTCACCATTACAAGTTTGAGAGGACCACCATAAATGGTTATTTATGCTCGTTTTCCATAAATATGCATCTGGATATTTTTTGTCAAGTCCTTTCAATCTTTTCGACAAACTCTTAGACAAATGCCATACATCAAATTCATGTTCAATTTGAGGATATTTTGTACGTAAAAAATATCGAATACCTCTATGTCGATCCGTTAGAAATAGTTCAATATTACAATTTTCTTCTTCAATTAATTTATCGATTAATGATTCGCAAGCTTTCTTTCCAAATCTCCAGAACCCATACCTTTTTGGACTGAATTAAAATCAATAATTTTACTGCTGTGCAAGTCTATTACTAAGTAAGTGCAATATTAATATATAACATGACCGGCTGGTGAAATATTTGTAAATTACTAATAAACGAAAATATGTATAAATAATGGATAAATTAAATGTTTTCCATCCTTAATAGTTTAATATTTATTATTTCAATAGGATGTTGGTATCAAATTGTAGGAAAATATCTATGCTTTTATAATATGAAATCCATTTTTCATTTCAAGTATTTTAAGTTAATTTATAAATAAATAACTAACGACGCGTCGAGGATTTGCGTGTATTGAAATAGGCGGGCCGCCGACCGATGGAACCAGTGACGTCACGCGTCATTTTAAAACGGCGATAACGATCGAACAGAGTGACGGATAATATTTTTAACGGTAGACAATTTTTAATTAAACCAAATACTAACGATTTAGCTTTTATCTATTTTTTCCTTGGATAGTCCTTTAAGAGGAATACCACCATACGATAAGAAAAAAATAAATTTCAAACCACGTTTGTACAAAAAGAGTAGGTTGTGCAGGTAGGGACTTAAGAAAATAACAATATTGCAAAAGAGGTTCTGTTATTATACACATAAGTATAATAGATATTTTCATAGAGTAGTACTACTAAGTAGTAATTTGAATCAATATTTCCATTTTACAAAAATAAACATATTATGACAGGCAGAGGTACCGAATTAAGGAAATAATAAATTCACAATCGGGTACTTTAATTAATACATTTTTAATATGACAGTGGTTACAATACATTTATAAATTGTAATTCTTAATTATAAGTATTTATAACATCACAAATAGCCAATAGGTAGGCCGTAGGCAGCATGTCTTTATCTACTCCACAAATCAATATTCCCAAAAAGATGTAGATAGTTATCAATAATTGTTGTATGAAAGATAGATTTATGTTAATCAAAATCCATCTAAGTTATTCACAGATATTTTCATGGCACTGCAACTTGCAAGCGTTAGCGTAATAGCGTATGACTACTAGATGAGGGAATTGTGTTCATAATTTCGTATAGCAATAATTATGAACCCTAACGAAATTATGAACACACAATGCCCTCATCGAGTAGTCAGCGCTCCCGGTGGAAATCACAACTAGTGTACAATTTCAATAAATTTATAATCACGAGTGTTTACACATCTATATACACAGATATATAGAATAATATTATTCTATATATCTGTGTCTATATATTATATCCACCTTGGTTTTCCTTATATTTACTATTTAGCTTAGATAGTACCACGATTACTGTGCTATCTTAAATCGTGATATTAGCCGTCAGGACTCAGGAGCACGATTAAATATCTTAATTCGTGGTCAGAAGGGAGCCCGGTACGTGCACCGGTGCACCACGGACAAGATATTATATGATAACTGGAATACTCACCAGCCATAATACCAATATAAACATAACCGAGATAGCTTGTTGGATAAAGACAGTAGATAAGAATGGTGCTGCTATCTTTTTTTATCACACATACAGTATGTGACATACTTATATGAATTATGCTTGTAAACCAATACATTTAAAATGTTTAGATAATAATATGCAATATAAAGTAAATTTTTAAATAGTTTTTAAAAAATGTTTAGTATTGTTGGTGAAGACTATAAAGTATTATCGAGTATG